TTATTTTCATTGTATATAAATTACAAAATTAATAATTTGTATACTATACTATACTAATATATTATTTGTATACTATACTAATAGTATAATATACTATATTATAATATTATTTGTATAGAAAACTAATATCTTTATATATAAATATGAAGATATAAATATATAAAAATATAAATATATGTAAAAATATATAAAGATATAAATATATCAATATATAAATATATCAATATTTAAATATATCAATATTTAAATATATATTAAAATATATAAATATATTTTTATTTATATATTTTATATTTATATATTTGTACTGATATACATTTATTTGTATATAAATATAATTTATTTGTAAGTTATTATTAAAAAATCCTAAGTAGCTTCAGTGGTTGGAGTTTCGACTCTCCAACTCTAAGGTACCGGTTCGAATCTCGACAATGACAATAAACCACCTAATAATAAGTTAAACTTCCCACCTAATAATAAGTTAAACTTCTAAAAATATAATATAATTAAGAGATAGGGAAATAAATATAAATAAAAACTTAAATAAGCAAAAATATAATATAATTAAGAGATAGGGAAAATGAATAATAGATATAATAAAAATGTAAATAATTAACTTTTTCATTGATTCAGTGACCGATTTGGTTGGTCACCGATTCGATCATCGAATCGGTCACCAAAATCAGTGACCAAGGAAATAGTGACCGATTCCGATGTCACTATTTGGTCACTATTTTAATTAAGTAACCGATTTTGCACATTTAGTGACCGAATTTTCGGTCACTATTTGATGTTTTTCTTGTAGTGTCACTTAATCTCTCTATGGTTTATAACTAAATGACATGATTTAAATGTATTTTGTGATGATTAAGAATTTAACTCTAAAGAATAATTTGATAAATGTTCAAATGTGTCTGTTCCAAACGGTCACTGACTTCCTTCTATCACCTCTAAACATGCAGAAAGATTTTATATGCCCAAATGAAAAAGGGGAGTTATATTACTCCTTTTTTAATGTTAATCAATAAAAAGGGGGAATGACTCTATATGTTTGTTTTGATTATGTGTTGGATGATTATATGTGTTGAATGTTTAAATTGTGCTCACAAACAGGGGGAGCAATATAAGCTATTGTAATAGGAGAAACTTAATGTGTTTGAATTAATTCATGTGATATAAATTCTTTAATGAATGATATGATTATTCAACACTAACCACTTGTGTTAATCTTGAGCTGACTACAAAGTCAATTAATTACTTTCATTATAAGTATTTTATTGATCATTATAAAAAAGGGGGAAAATGTTAGCAAAAAGGATGTCACCACTACCCCTTTGAAGCTAAAGATTTTGATGGATACTCAAACAAAACTTCTACAGGATTAAGAGAAGCTCATATAAATATATAATGTCTAGGGTGTCAAGTCTCTCTGTACAAAGAGGAAGCAGAAGAGAAATAATCAGTCAAATCATCTCTCTTCACAATTAAAGTATTTTTTTATGCACATAATCAATTAAGGTTAAAACATAATTAAATTATGTTACTGCAGATTTTCAAAAATAAATATATCTTTTGAATTGAAATTGATTTTTAAATCAAGTATTCTCTGACTATATATTATCCTAAAAATTCTCCTTTTTGCACAAAATAAAAATTGATTTTTGAATTTATTTGTTTTTATTTAAAATTAACAATATATTTTGAATTGAAACTGTTTTTTAAATTAAGTATTATATGACTGGTATCTTCTTCTAAAATAGAGAATACAAATTTATTTTTAAATTTATTTTTTATTTGAATTAGTTGATTTTTTTTTAAGAAAATTCAAGTAATTTTTTATAAATAACCCAATTTTGAGAAATAAAAAACAGAGAGACAACACACCGCTACTGAGTTAAAAACACGACATATAACTGAACATTCCGTCTTTTGTACTCTTACTTTCTAGGTGGTTGTGTTTCAATTTTTGTTTTAATCTTCATCCTTTCTTTTATACAAAAGATGTGTTCATCCCTTGTATGATTCAAGGGAGGTATTGTCATCTCTTGAAAGGGTTCAAGAGAGGTGTTTATCGGTCTTTATAATTTTTCTTTTGCATGTTTCCCTAGGTCATTGTGGTTGTAATTGAAATACTCTAAAGATAGTGAATTGAGATTGTCATTCTCACATTGAGGTGACTGGAAACTAGATGTAGGGTTAACTATATCTAAACCAGTATAAATTACTGTGTGAATTTCTTCTTTCCTTTACTCTGTTTATTCTACGCTTCCGGTAATGCACTTAATTAATAAAACTTATGTTTTTTTAAAGTATAGACATCAAGACAAATTTTTTAAAGCATCAATTCAACCCCCTTCTTGATGTCATTTGCCTAACAAGTGATATCAGAACCAATGTCACAAGTTCCTAGTGAGCAATTATTAGGGGAGATTGTTGCAGGTTGCACAATTGTCCCAATGCGGAGGTCGGGTGGGCCGAGTCATAATCCAAAAGTGAGATTCCTCGTAGGACACTTGCTGAGAGAGATTATTACAGATAACATCAATTGTCCCGTGGCGGAGACCAAATGGACCGAGTCATAATCAAATTGTGGCGTTTCGGCTGTTATTTTAAGTAAAAAAATTGCGCTCTGACTAACAACTATAGCTTTTGGCCAAGTTGTAGCGTTCGATCCTAACAATACTTTCATGTCTTCTCATATTAAATTTAATTGGTATTTGATTAATATTTCCATGAATCAAGTGAAACACATAGCTAAAACTTATATATTTTTCAATTATTAAAAGTATATTTATTTCTGTATTCCCTATTCTCCTTACATTTATAACATAATCATATAAACACTAATAAAAATTTAATTAATTATTTTAAATGTATTACCTATGTTCCAAATTAATTAACTTTTGATATTAATGACTTTTAAATTTTATTCTCAATATTCACTAATACAAATACTTATAATATTTATAAGAAAAGTAAACATGTAAAATACATATGCAAAATTGTATAAAAATTATAAATTTTCTTATTAAAAGAATTACTTTTTTTCTAATATAATAAAAACGAAAGAAATACTTTTTTAATTTCGTAAAGCGCATTAATTAAGAATGAAAAATGAGGTCAAATTCAATAATTTTTTATTACCATACTTATTAATAATGAAAATTAGTTACCTATTATAAGATATATTCAGAACAAAATATTATTATTTTATGATTCCTATACAACTTTGCATTTATTTTATATCTATTAAATATTATAAATATATTTATGTTTTGTATTAATGAATAGTAAGAAGAAAGTTTGAAAAGTAAGTGATAATGAAGATTAATTTACAGTACGTTGGGAATATTATTTTGAAAAAGTTCAACTAAAAATGATGAAAGTATATTAGAAGTATCTTATGAAGAGTAAAAGAGTATCCAAATAATCTAAAAAAAATGAATCTAAATCTGGTGAGAACAGTGCAATGAGAGTGAGTAGCATGTAGCAGTTTTGAGTGTGAAAGCAAGTGCAGGTTTAGCAAAATTGGTGCAGTTAAAGATGGTGGTTGTCATCTTTCTACCTCCAACGTTTTACCCGACAAAGCATGGTGGAGGTCCCTTATCTTCAAAAACCAAACACAACCTCCCATTTTCCCTACCACTTTTTTGCTTTCTCAATCCAACTTCAAAAGAATCCAAATCCAAAAACCTTTTATGAATTTACTCTCCCTTTCTCTCTCCTCCTCACGTGTACTAAGGATCACCATGTCTTGTGTGAGAAACAGAAGGCTCTTGTAACGCAATACCATTTCTCTTTTTCAAACCACACTTGCGTAATTGAACACCATATTTTGATTTTGGATGCTTTTCTTAGCAGATCATCTAACTACACGACCATAGGGATCAAGCTCAGAAGTTCTGGTTTTATATTCAGCAATTGATGTCGAGCTTGCAGCTACTTGATATTGACTTATGATCAATTTGGTGAGCGCAAAATTTTCAGGCTCTCAAAAATAGTAAAGACACATAATTTATGGGAACAAGTAACACAAAAGAAAAAGAAAATTTTAGTTGCAGACTTGGTATCTGATCACACCCTTTTCACATTGAGCAATTGTGGCTGAGCCATCTTGATTATTCAGTCAATTACTCATCTTATTGGTGTAGAAAAATTCACCCCAACGATTATGTTACCTTTCAGTGTTGCTTTTTTTCTTTTCTGTCTAGAATTATTTACAAGTCAAAGGAAGATAAATGACAGATTGATATACATGTTGAGTTTTAACGTGAAAATCTTTTACAGATGAGGACGGTAACACCTTTTGCTTGATATAAACGATATGCATGATACATAGGTTAACAGACATAAAATACATCTTAAATATTTTTAAAAATATCTAATAATTTTATTACTGCTACTGGGAAAAAGCATCTAATATTCTATCAGACAATGACAATCCACAGAGTAGCAAATGGTTATCAAAAGATTACGTTTTAGTGAAGTTCTTGGTATAAGATTACGTTTTAGTAATGAAGCGGATAAGTTTTCTCCATTGACAAGATATGAAAACTTCAAAATGATGTAACACCATGCTTCATCGTTTGAGAAACCATAATCTTATTAATTAATTAACCACAAAGCAAACTTGTCCACAGTTTCTGCCAGCTATCACACCCTGCAAGTGCTCGGTAACAAACCGCTCCCTAATATCCCTCAGTAATTGTCGAGAATTTTTTGTTACTGAGCACAAGGGCATGCATGCAGTAACATCTGCTACACTTAGTACTGCTACTCTTTTATAAATAAACCTATTTATACAGAAACTGTCTAACTTATTTCAAATGAAAATGAACTTAAACCATCTTAACATCATATCATAGATGATTGGTGCAATTCTCTTATATACTTTAAAATGGTTGGTTACATGTATTAATTGCACCAATCATGAGATGGTTTAATTCCATTTTTACATGAGTTAATTTAGACACATATGGCATGTTACATACATATCACGATCATGTATGAGCAAATTCATCTTCATCAGATCCAGTAAAGCATTCCTTCTCGTCCTCAACGAAGCCTTCAAGAGAAGGATGTGGGGAGTGGCCTTTTCCAAAGGATCTAATATGATCTTTGAGGGACCTTTTGTGCTTAAAATCTGAACCACAAGTGCAATACCACAACTTTCCACAGTTCTTCTCATGAGTCCTCCAATCCCCTTTAACTGCAAAGGATTTTGAACACTTTCGGCACATAAATGGTTTTGCACCATGCTTTCTTTTGTAGTGGGTTTGGAGAGTTCTGAAGTCCTTCAAGGGCTTAGCTCTCGGATGATTGATGTTGTTCTTGCAACCTTGGGCACAACAGTAACATGGTAGCCTTAGCATTGCAGCTGGTTGTGTTCCTTTAAGTGAGTCTGGTCCTTTCCTAAATTCGGATCCGTGCCCCCACATATGCATCTGCAAATTATTAAGGTTTCTTTTAGCTTTTTCTTCTTTCTTGATCATAACCAAAACAAATACTGTAATGACTAAATTATTAGAGAGTCCATTCCATTATGGTTAACAGTATCATTAAGGGACATGTAACAGGCCTTTTCAATTTTCAACAGAGAATTGGTAATATTCAACTTCATTGCTGAAATTGTGTACATTTTAAATAATGTAATAATGAAAACAATGCTATTAGCACTGAGATGAAAGTAGAATTGGAAGAGGAAGTAAACATATAATGAATATTTTCCTAACCGTGAAGTATTTTTCTCACATTCTTTGGTTTAATATCAAGTCTGCTGGAGACTTAAATTGGCATCTATTGTTTACTTATTTAAATACTTTAAATTCTTTTGGTTAATAAAAAAATCATTAAAAGAGGACAAGAATCCTCTAACAGGTCCTTATACGTAAGTTTGTTTAACATGGTGATTTCTAATTGATCCCATAAGCTATTGCTTCAAATTAGGCCATCAAATTAATCCTTCATAAGCATGCTTATGTAGATCCAAAATCAACTATCCCCGTTTTTTTATATTATTTTCTGCTCTTTGGTTAAAATCTAGCATGTAAATGGAAAAACTAAAATAAATAAAAAATTACTTTGTAATCACATATGTTGCTTTTTAGTTTGAAAGAGAAAATAAAGGAGATCAAATGATTTCCATCCACTAATATAACCTACCAGTGTTGGCCTTTATATGGACAAGCAGTGGCCTTGTCATTAATTAATTCTTATCTAACTATTTTTCTTAATTTATAAGTGATTTTGAGTAATCCAATTAGCAATACATTAATGCATGTTAAGAGTGGAAGATTGTGTGTTTTTTCTCCCACATAAATATTTTTTAAAAGGCACAGTTCTTATTCAAAAAAATTTGCTAAGGTAGATCTTGTGCTACACAACATGCATGCCTCAAACACCTACGATTAGTTCCTATGATAGTTGTATTCTGATGAGGTTTTCAACCCAAAAAGACAGACATTCACATGGAAAGAAAAAGGAAAAAAAGAAAAGCATGAAGATATGGAAGTGCAATTTGCTTTGAAATCTTATGGTTTAAAAGGAGCCTTTTGCTAAAAGTTGAAGAGGGTGGTGATACCGGGGCAATAGGCCATAACTTAAATTTCTTAAAGTGAAAAAGAAAGCAAAAGAAAAAGACAGTCATTAAGAGTCATGTTTATATAGCCATTAAAGTTCATTTAAATGATTGTTTTCATCTTGATGATTATCTTCGTCTTCATTATCATGATGATGACGGTAGGCTTGGATAGGGAATTCAAATTCTGAGTAGAGATCGATATATTTGCACACAGTATATTTGTCCTCAGTGGCAAAAGATATAGTTTATAGAAAATTCAACTGACTGCAAGGAATTCATATTTCATGATTTGGTATTAAGTAACATACTTATGAGTGCTCATTCATCTACTAATTATGATATCATAGAATTTTAGTTGCGTGAATTATCATATAGAAATGCTTGCTATCAACAAAATTAATTTGTTTTGAAACCTATATATCCCTTCCCCAGAATGTCTATATTGCTGTGATTATTGCGAAGAAAACTGATATATATGCATAACTTTCAATTATTATTATTGTAAATCTAAAAGGGTTCAACGTTCCAAAGGAGCTATACTTGATCAAATACAAAAGATTCCATTTCCCAACTTACTGTGTTGAACTGGTGCTAGATTCTATTTTGTCGATGGTACTTATAAAGAGATGAAATTGAAATGTAAACTATGTGATAGGTTATGCGTTTTATATGAAAATCATTCACGATTTTCTTTTCAAGCGATAATGATATGGTTAATTTCCAACACTATTTATTTTGAGGGGTACATCCTTGTTGCATACTTCTTAGTTTTAAGTGTTTCTTTAAAAACAAGTTAATTTATGTGGAAATAGTCAATTAATAGAAAATATTTGTGTGTTGCTTACACCAGAAGATGAGAACCAACTAACCTGCATATTGTTATATCTGTTGAAGGTTTTGCTGCATATGGAGCAAGCAAACTGCATCGGTCCAACAAGGATCTGAGCAGGAGTTGGTATCCAAAATCTTCTCTCCTGGTTAAAAGAACAACCTTGGAAGCTTTTCTTCAAGGGTTCTTCGTCCTTTACATGGAAAACCTTTTTCTCACCATGATCATCATGATCAGGGTCAGGGACTCCAGTGTTAGGTAATCCAATGTGCAAAGCCACAGTCACCTGTTCCACCTTCTCTTCTTTCACTTCTAAACCATCCTTTTGCACTCCATGGTCTTCTTCGAAGGGAAAAAACTGGATCGTTTCATGGATAAGTTGATCATGCTGAGCCAAGGAAGAAGGAGGTGGAGATATTGAACTTGTTAGAGAAGAAGATGGTTTGAGCCACTCAATAAAATTAGTTGGGGTTTGAAGACACAGATTCTTGTTTTCTACATTGCACTCTCTAAAACTCATGTTCCTTAGAAAGAGTCCAAGGATTTGTGAAATTCTCTACTCAGAAAAAGGCCTATATCCAGACTTTATGAAAGAAAGCCTGCACTTATTGATCAATGAAATCAAGCTTTCTTTTCTTTGCCTTTGAGGAGTTTTTTTTTTTTTTTTTCTCCTCCTTTATTTTTTCACCCTTACTTTTTCTCTTTCTCCTCTGTTGGCCTTTGTTTGTTTCTTTTTGGTGAGAGAAAAAGGGAGACTAATTGGTGGGGATAGAAAATGACATGAAAAACAGGAATGGCCAATTTAGTAAAAAAGAATCCTAGAACAGTATGAACTCTGAGCTGAACTACTACTTGGTAATTGGTACAATGTGAAGCGAATGAGTTGATCCTTTTATATTCTCTTTCTAACATATAATGGAATTTGACCCACATGCCCACATTTTCTCACACATTGACCTTAAACAAATGATTTCAAATAAGAGGATGAAAACACATATATAGACGCGTTAGGTCAATACCTAAACTGAGAAAAAAGTATTACAAATGACGAACAATGTAACCAGGACCTAGACAGTATGTTATCTAGTGTTTTATAATATGTGCCATGTAAACCAACAACAACAACAGCAATAGTATGTGCCATGTTGGTTAAGTTTCATACATCAATTATTAAAAGCGAATATAATTCAGGCTTAATTGTTGGTATTGATCATGACTGCTGCAAGTTACGTATATTGTAAATAACTATGAGGACAATATTTAATATCCAAACTATTTCTTATTAATTATCATTCTTAATTTATTCCATCTTCTTAAAAACCAGGAGTTGTTGCTTCATATCGGACGTTTGAGTCATAAACTTCATATCCGATGTTGCTTTTCAATCCAAAAATTAATCTATAAAAGCTATTTTAAATTAGTTTGCATTTTATTATAAGAATGTTTTCATTTCTTTTTATTTAGTGAGTCTTTTCAACGTATTTGAAATTGAGTAAAGATTATCAAGTTGTTTTATGCTTTTCATTTATACGATGAATATAAAAATTGAATAAGGAATAGATATACCCTTACTAAATAACTTAAAATTGTGTTGGATAAATATCTTATCCGACACCTATATGACAGATCTTTTTAGACTAATGCCACGCTAAAATTTTTTTTTTTTTCTCTGAATGTAAGTAAATATATACATTCAAAGTTTAATAAACTCAAAAGAACATCACTGTCTTAATATTAGTTATGTTCATTTAATGGTCAAATGATGATCAATAAATGAACATATATGTAACCTTCTTAAAAATTATGTTATTTTGTATATGATTAAGAAAAAATGGTATGAAAGTGAGACCATGGCACTGCAGCAAATTAAGCAGTATAGTACTGTAATTTTGAAGCCAATAGCAGAAATCATCAGTGATGAAGTCTGAAGAGCTTCATAGTCCTCACCGACAACCTATTGTCATCACTTCTTTCTTAGACGACAAATGCTTTCACAGGCTTTCCTAGCAGTTACTATCATTCTTTGACTTTCACGTATATTATATACGATGGATGCATATGTTGTCTACAAATGAATATATATATATATATATATATATATATATATATATATATATATATATATATATATAATTCTTTTACTAATTTTCTTCCCTTAGAACATGTGACTTTCTGTGAAGAAAGTCCCTGAGATCTGGACTGTGGTAACTTTCCCCAGTTGATATCAGAAAATTACTCGAAAATTTAACCCTAAACAGTTCATGCTAGTAACAAATTAACCACTGTAGATGGTTACAAAGAACTAACGACCTAGAAATTTATATTTCTTGCCACTCTGAGATGCATGTGATCGATCATTCTAAGTCATTTTAATATTCTGCACCTTCTGAAATAGTAACATAACCTTTCTCAATGTTTGGTAGTGAACAGGTTCAAATCCGTGTCGAACTACATTCACGTACCAGATACAACAATTGAAGTATATGTTGGAAAGTGTCTCTCTCTGTATATATGTATTATCGTAGCTGGGTGGTAAATTCAATGAATGATTCACTGAATAATCCTTCAAAGTGGGTATGATCAATCAGAAAGATTAACCAGCATCAATCAAAATCTGGGTGGTTTGTCTTGTTTATATGTATGTTTGTATTCTTGTCCCACGAGAGATGATATGGATATACATAAAAGTGTCCTTTGCTCAAGATGAATAGTTTGAAGATGTTCTTGTTAATTGACTATGTAACTGCTAGTCACTGATTAGCGGCGATTAATGAATTGGTGGTCATGTCTAATTGTCCTACGTACACTCAAATGTTGAAAGAAATCTTAGTTGCTATGTTAATGTGAAGATTTTGACAATTGAAAGGTAGTGTTGGATTTGTACACATATATACTACAACTAGCCACGGTAGTAGGTTACCTTGAGACCCCTTTTTCTTTTTGGCTACATGTCCCACTCATACCCTCCCGTGACCACATCCACTTTTTCAATCTCTTCTCACCTCACAAAATTTAGCCACTCTTTGGGTAATTTTTAAAACTTACTTTAATATTATACTTCAAGATGGAATTCAAATCTAAGAAATTTTTTTATTTAAATGAAATAAATAAATAAATAATATATAGGAAAAATAAGTAAATTATCATAAATTTCTTAAAATATAACACAATACAACTGTTTTCCATTATTTTATCAATTTTACTATTCAGGAAGAAGATTCGATGGATTTATAAGATTTTTAGTAGGGTTGAATCAATCTTATTATATTTGACTAAACTTTCATTATTTTTTCCCCACTTGGGGTCTATAACGGTACTTTTATTCTTTCTTCGTTCATACATATAATTCTTTCTCTTTTCATGGAAGAAGATAATAAGATTATATAGTTCTTGATTATGTCTTTCTTCAAATCTTATACATATTTTCTACAATTGAATTAGTAGAGATATTCATTTTTATTATTACCTGTTAATTTGAATCTATTCTTAAACTCAAGAACACAAATGATAAGATGTTAATGTATGAGAATGATCAATAGATTTTTTTAATCCAAATATTATCATTTTTTTTATCTTTAATATTGACGTCATTTGGAGTGTTTTCTAAAAATTCATAAAATCTTTTCAAATTTTATAAATCCATAAATTATATAATCTTTATTGTTAAGTTTTTTTTTTAAAAACAATAACCTATAAATCATTACATTCTTATCGTAGTTTTTTATTTATTTATTTTATCGTATTTTAGTATATTCTTCCAAAATCTCAACCTATTGCATCTCTCTAAGTCTAATAATTAATTATAAGTTATTTTTTGTTAATAATGTAATTTAAGCACTGAATCTACAGTTGCGTTAAGTATTTAGAGAAAACGTTGATTATTAATATAATTTGAATATATAAGATTGTCCACTATGAATTATAATTATGATGTTTAAAAAAAAGACATATATAGGCACTAAATGTTCATCAAAATATATTGTGTTATTTCGATTTTTTAAAGTTTAAATAAATTGAATAATCCCTGCAAATAATGATAATCTTTGTCTTATTGTTTTTTAAGATAAAGATGAGCAATAATTAAAAATTACTATCTGATAATTAATGTAACGTCTCCATTTTTTAGAAAAGAAAAAAATAATTAATAATTCAAAAAGACTTTTGATACTAATTAGCAAGTTATATATGGCATCCAATTTTGCTTCGTATCCAAGTAATATAAAATTTGGTCCTTTATTAATTTAATATTTTTGCACAAAAACTTATAATTAAGGTATTAATTATTATTTTTTTCTTGAGAAGAGAATTGATTGATGAGAGACAGGTAATGCGGGTATGCATGAACCACACAGCAATGTCATTTCCATTTCATTTACCTAACTCTTCCACTAAACCAAATCAATTTTTAACTCCCACACATATTTTTGCTGGTTTTATTAATAATATTATTTCCATGTAAAGAATATATCTATAACCAACGTTAACATTTCAAAGATGTACTTATAATTTCAATTTTTTTTTAACAATTAAGTTAACGTGAGATTTGTATTCAAGATTTTGTTGTATATCTCATTTTACATTCTCTTTGAGAATTTTTTTAATAGTTCCATTATTGTTAAAAGTTGATTTCGATATATTATTTGTTGTAGTATCTTTAATCAATACGTCATCACGAAGAATATTTCGTTACAAATCTTCCACTTAAAGTTTTTATCATTCAATATTTTCATATTTTTTAACCACGTGATAGAGGTAAATCATTGTGTATAATGTTTGAAATATAAATATAAATGTTGAATTGCATTTTTACAGTAAATTTTTTTCAACTGTGAGACTTTGTATTAATACTAAACACGATTAATAGCCGAAATTATTGAACGGTGATGGAAGAATGAAGCTTCAAAGGAAATACTGAGAAACTGTCCCTTTCTTGTTAAACTCGTTAAGTTTAAGGAATGTTTGGCAGAGGTGATGGCATGGTAAAAACTTGATTAAAAAAAGTCTCGGTGGATGTTATGGGTGGGAAAGGAATAGAAAAAAATAAATATGTATAGTATATGGACTAATATATAATAATAACCATCATTCAAATTCAACGTACACATCTTATAACTTCTCCCTTTTCATCATTAACTTCATTTTTCTATTTTTAATATGCCATCAATTCCAGAAACATTTGAATTAAACAAGAATCAGAATAGCTTGGTTTCCCTTCACAACTAAACTTTACCCTAATATCTTCCATAAACTCATTTTCATACTCTTTCTTTTTATCATATCTACTAGATCATATCATTAAATTAATTATCATATTAAAGTATTATTTATCTTGTATGAAAAATTTTCTACGTATAAAATCCGTATCGATTAAAGATGTAATTATAATATTTAAATGATTATAATTCTAACGAAATTGATTTTATAAAATTAAATTGGATATTTTATTATATATATATATATATATATATATATATATATATATATATATATAAGATTGAAAATTCCAAGTTTTGGAAGTTAGTGGAATTTAACGTCATCAAAACTTCACGTCAAGGTGGTAGGTTAGGCTAAGGTTAATAGATATTAATTCCTTCTAACAACAATTCTAGAATACTAATAAATTAAGTATTTTTATTTTATTTTAAATTACAATGGAGTGTATTGACCGTACCAAGTACATGCTTATTTCAAGTTAAATTGGAAATTATGAGTATCTACTTTTTTTTTTTCAAAAAAAAAAGTAATTATTTTTAAAGTGAAGTATTGATTTAACGTGTATTGTGAATCTTATAAGTTCTATTCTTTGTTGTTCAAACACAACTCAAAGGTTGGGTTGGAGTACAGCCCATTTGATATTATAATCAAGTCTGAACAAAATGGGCTGAAATAACACTGTTCTTAAAATGGGCTTTAATTGTAGTAAAAAATCCTTTATCATAAAGTAAGATACATGCTGAATTTAGAGTATTTTTCCTCAATACATAATTAATTTTTGTCTTGTTATTCGATGTGGGATTTTTATTCCCAATACAAACTAACTAAATTCAGCTTCAATTTCTCTCTACATCTCCACAGTATATACCAAAACCTATCATTTAACAAAACACTCAACTCACGTATTAATTATAGTATATAAATAAGGAGTCATACTCGTTCCATATGACCTAACTTCTGTGATAGATTTTACACCCAATTCAATGATTTTGTTTAATGTGTTCCATTTGAATTGTTGCCAGCCTTGCTTTTCTGACACTATACTGATAACAAGGATTTGGTATGGTAACATGGATAGTTTGGAAAACGAACAAGAGATACACTTTTCAGAGGTAATTTATGGGCTGTAAAAGAAATGACACAGAAGCAGGAGCGAGAGAGTAAATTGTGCAGAAGAAATGACAGAGACCTAGATTTGATTGAAGGAAGCATGAATAATAATAGTATAGGTTGTTGATAGTATCTTTTAGCATCATTGTCTCGTCCTATTCAATTGTGCCCACAGTATATACATGTATTGATTGTAACTACTATAAAGTTGCTGACATAGCAACGATCCACTCTACCCTACCACTTGATCACTGCCATTCATAAGTCATCAAATAATATATATATATAAATTTTTTACTTTACTTTTATTATTCTTAAATCATATTATGATTATTATATTGATATATAGGTTATTATAAATTGTTGTCCACTATTATCATGGCTGTCTATAAATCATGTTTCTGTGTGTTTTTTTTCCTAATTAACAGAATTACTAAAATTGATAGCATAAGTTCTAAGATTAGAGACCAAAACATATTTTAGTCCTCTATCTTTTGACTTCAAAGATTTAATTATGAAATATAAACATAATGTTAAACGATATATAAGACATTTCCAACCCTATGGTATGTGAATAGTTGAAGGGTTCTTATTGCTTGATTCCGATGCAACCAACGAGTACTGCTTTCTGCAGGTCATAGTCCTCTTTTAACGGAAATGTCCTTGGAAGTTCAGTACATTGAGATCATCCAACAGGGGTTGAATCAAAGTACATGGATGACAAAAACATAATCTGGCATTGATTTTTCTAAGCAGAGGTTTGCATGCAGTGTTTACGTAAGGACAATGTTAACAGTGTTTAGTATCAACAAAAAATCTTAACAGTGTTTATACAACAATTTTCTGTATGACTTTTAACAATCATTCCTTTGTTTTATCATTCTCCAACTTATCACATATTTCTCTTTATTCTCTTACTTTTTGTTGTACACAATTTTTATGAAATACAATTTCTCAAATAGAAATGAAGGCTTTCTGTTTAAAGAAATGTGCTATGTTCTGATTCACATAATCGAAGTCAAGAAGCAATTTCTCAGTTCTAACAAGAAAAGGATATGTAATGTTTCCTTTCTAGTTTACCTTGTATGCCTATAATTGTTGAATTCAGTTTCCATTCCAATAATTTGGCGAAAGAAAAATGGAAAATAAAGTGTTACTTGTTATAGGTACACACTGTTTAGATTTGTGCCTATGGTGTCTACGATGCACGCCTAAATTGTTTTATCTATCGGTTAATATTGCACTGCACAGAGGGTAATGAAGTTCAGAATCTTGAGCCCTTAAAGACTGGGATTTATGAATTATGGAGTTGCACTTTCGAGAAAGAGAGAAAGTCAATAAATCGGTCATTCCTTGAAGTCTTTGAAGTTAGGTAACGACAATAACCTTTCGTTTTATGATGTCGTTTGATTTCGTTCCGTCCCAGAATCAGAGATAGAGAGGTGTTGGCATCTTTGTACGTACGGTACCAGTGCAGAGTACATTAACAACTCTGGTATATAGCCTTTCGTGGATTCAAATCGAGTTTTTATGATAAAGAAAGATAAGAGTAAAGGAAAAGGTTGAAGCTTATAAAAAAAGATTGTAAAAGCAAACACCACTCCTCCTCTGAATCAATAGAAGAAATGAATAAAGTAGAACTTTATAAGATTCTTTCTCATATTATTAATTTCACCACTTCTATACCTCGTCTCATTTCGTTAACATTTTCGTATTACACATTAAAGGTTATGTGCATGTTCGAATTAGGTTGTTTCATTTATTTATTTATTTTAAATTTCAAAAGCTAAGAAAACGATTATTTCTTATCAACTAAACAAACATGTACTGCAACTAATTAATATTAATAATAAGAGCTTACATGCTTACTTACTCAGACATAGTTTACGAGAAACTGAAGTGGAAACTTGAATAATTACAAACTGAAACCATCAAACTACAAACAAGAATGTTAGAGGGATAGTTGATGCTACGAGTTTGAGCATGCAAGTTCGAAATTAACTAGACAAAGTGCCCCAACCACATCCTTAGAAACCTAAACTTATTTGGTGGACACTACCACAGTCCACAGGCACGTAGGCTTTACTAGTGATAAGCACATTGTGGCACTTTTTGTGGGTTGGTTCATTGTTCAACGTCTTCTGGCAGCCGTTTCTCTTTGAGCATTGAAAAACACAGCTGCCACAGGAAGCCCCAGGTCATTCTCCTCTGAAAAGCTCCTCGTGTTAAAGAGGTCCCTTGAACTTGGTATTTTCATCACTGCCTGCCTGCGCTTCTGCTTGAAAAGCAGGAACACAAACCTATGGATGCCTATGTTTGGCCTTGGAATTTCATAGTCCACCACCTCATTTCCTGATCAATTGCATGTTCAAGGAAAAAACATATATATGAACTTTTGTGAGTTACAATGATAGTAATAATAAAAGTAAAATGAAAGTTACTCTTTGTGTGTGTGCATGTGTCTATAATAAGATTCAATAACTTACCAAATGTGGCGTCCGTTGTGCCTGGGATGTCTGTGACTACCCTGTGAGTTATTAAATATGGTCAGACACTTTGTCATACATAGCAAAATGAAATCACCTGCATTTGATACTCTTCCATATGCATGTGTTTCTTTCCATATCTAAACTCGAAAGTTAAGTTCATTGTTTGTTTTTCATATCCATGCATGGTATGTACTTTACTTTATCCCTTACAAGCAAAAAGAAAAGCTGGATGACCTACTATAGTAGGGTTGATAGTATGTGAGAAATCATAAAATGTACACTAAATGAACTACAAGTCAAGAAAATCAAATGTAGAGTGAAGACCTAACTCTGCATGTGATGGTTTATTGGTTTTTTGTGTGATATATATTATTAAGTGTTATTATACCAGTGTAAGTGTTCCCTCAGATATGGATCACTAGGGCCAGGGACATCTGGATCTGTCATGACCTGAAAGAAAATCATGGAAATGGTGGAGCAGTGAGATGCATGAAAAGACTGAAGAGATGAAGAGGGTGGATTAATTTGGTGAGAGAAATAGGTACAAGAGTGAAGAAGGATCTCATGTCGCCTCCACGAATCTGAACCTTAGGCTTAGTGGTTACTGAGGAAGGGAAAAACTCATGGCCGTTATAGACCTGCTTATTGTTGTAGGAGACAGTGATTTTCAGAGTTGGAGTGAAATGATCCACTACATCTCCGATCACTCTCCCAATAACAAGAGGGTCTGATGATATCATATTCATGGCTTTTTAAGATTAGTTGAAATGCTATCTGAACTTTGAAGGTAGGAGTAGTGAAGCTGTGGAACCAAACAGTGAATGTTGCTTTTGAGGTCTTGGTGTGAGTAAATGTGAAGTGGAAACCCTATATTTATAGTGCTGATTGATCCCTTCAATACTTAATTAATTAGGAATCATGGTGGGAAGCGAAAATTAAAGAATAGGGAGAAAAGTCGAAAAGAGAACCTTATGAAAAAGGCTGAAGGTGCTTTTTTCACATTTAGAAAAATATATGTTGATAACAAATTAACATATATTTATTTGTGTCCAGAATATATGAATGAATGGACTTACGATTAAAATAAATCCTATTTATTTATGTCTAGAATATATGAATGATTAACATAAAATTAGAATAAATCCTAAAAAATTAGAATATCGGTCTCATATTTATTATTATAATATTATTATAGGATTGATTAACTTCAATTATCCTATTCGAAGATTTTATCGGTTTTGAACGTGAACTTTAATTTGACACATTTTTATTATTAAAGATAAGTTAAAAGAGAAAATAATATATATAAATTATTTTTTATTTTGATTATTAAGGAATATAAGATCTGTGAATGCATATTTAGTGTTTAATGTGAATAAGGTAAAAAAAATTTCTACCACCTAAATTAGTAGATTTTTTTTTAAATTATCCTATATCAATTTTCTAAAAAAAAAACTATTGAGAATAATAGTTTTTATAAGATAATAAATATATATTTTAATTTATATTTTTGAACGATTTTTTAGATCTTGAATAATTTATTTAAAATTTTTAAATTGAGAAAATGAAATTTAATAAAAAATTAATTAATTGATTAATTAGAAAGAGTTTTTAATATATTCTCAAAATTATGTTAAAATAATATAAATGAGATACAAATATCACAATTAAAAAAAATATTTTTTATCATAAAATAAAGAAAAAAAACTATACCACAATTTATATAAATTATTAATTTTAGTTAAGAAACGAGAAACATATGAATATATATTATAATTATTTTAAATTCAAATTTTAATAATATAAAGGTGAATTAAGAAGAAAATTCGTTACCAATAATAAATTTAATTAAGATTATTTTTATACACATTAAATATATTATTAAAAAAAATACTAAATATAAACAAATGAAAGATGAATCAATATATCCCTTAGTGCATAGATAAAAACAGTCTTATCCATGTCACATCTTCATTATATACAAGAGTATGTATACGTAGAGATACATTCATTATAACTTTGATCTCTTTAACAAATAACAAACATAGCATGCACAATAAGGAAATATCGGTTTGAAGATGTAAAAATGAAATATATACTAAAGAGGAGAAGCTAGGTAGCTAGAAAGTAACCAGGTAGCATGATTCCCAAATTCTATATTATTTGTTAAGAGTTATTATGCAAAGGGGGAAGCAGGGAGAATTTGAGGTTCCAAGGCATCATTAAACTGGGAAATTATATGGACCTTTTCCAAACATGGTATTAGAACCTTCCCTAACTAAACATTCATAGTATGATTGCCACTACTTTAAGCAGAATTTGGAGTATAAAGCTAATATTCCACCCACAGAAACATATAAGTCAAATTAACAAAACTCAAGGTAGTGGCTTTGGTCATTTCACACAAAAAGAAGATTAGATGGAATGACCACTTTTTATATTCAAATTAGAGTGGATGGCATGAAGTTATTATCCTCTTAGTTACACTTTTCTTCCTCCTCTTTCGATCTCGAAATCACCTACTAAGCATATCGTTCATGAGAAATAGTATATAAATACTATAATTTTTATTTGATTTAAGGAGAATTACGTTAAATATTTCATTATTTTTAAAATTATATCAAAATAAATGTTAATTTCCTTTTTATTATTATCTTTATCAAGAATTGTGTTTTCATTATAGATTAAAAATACTGGTATGTAATCACTACTAAAAATTTAGTTATATTTTTTTAAATTTTTTATAAAAAATATTTTTCATAATTTTTATGCAAAGAAATTTCCTACGAAATATGAAAAATTTTAGTAAAATTTTTTTAGTTATATGATATAATATGGTATAATTTAAATATATGTTCGACTATTTCTAATATATAATATATATTTTTTTAATATTAAATCACTCATCTATCAATACGTTTTTCCATCACTTCCACCCTAAATTTAATATTTTTAGATAAGAAATTAAACTGAGTCTTTTCCTAGAACTGTGCATTTCAATGAATGGATTCCCCACACATTATTAGTGCTTTGTTTCAACTTTATTTTTTAGTTAACATTCAACATGCAAATTAAATTGTAATTTAGATGGGAGTTTTTTTTTTTTTTTCCTTAAGTTCCATGAGTAATTAGACAATATTATCATGGAGGGCTTTAAATAATCTAATTTAAGCTTCAAGACCAAGGATAATGTTTCATTAATTCATTATTATTCTCTAACAGTTGCTTATAAAGACTTGATTACCCCTCTTAATTAAAGTGAAAAAGGCATGGAAAATAAGAATATACAACATTTTTAATTTAAAGTTGATATATTACTGGAACGTATAGTGGCAGGTAAAAGAAATCTATTATTACAAGTATATGCTAAATTTATTGACTTTTATTATAATCAATTTAAAAAGTTTTATCAGTAATAGCTTTTAATGATTGATTATGTAAACAGAATTACATTGGCAATAAAAAATTAAACATTTTTATTATTATTCTCTATGTAATTTCTACCGAACTTATAGTATCTGATTTTTAAATTTATGAATTAGTCTTTTAGTTATAGAAAGCATATGAAATTAGTTCGTTTTTATGTTTAATCTTAATATTTAGTGACTATTTTGTATTACACTAAATTGAAAGAAATATTGCATTTATATGTTGTTTAAAAGTTGAGAATTTATCTATTAATTTGAAAATATAAAAATTAAAATTCTGTTTTTGTAAAATTACAAACATTATTTTTACCTAAAATTAAACTTTGGTAGGGTCTTTTAGTGTATTTTTTTTTCATTCATTCAAATCTTTCACTTAGAAGACCGATTTTTGGGAATTTACGATGACCTCCAAAATTTTGTAATTTTAATATAATTTATGATTTTAATTTTTTAAATTTAATGGTTATTTGTATATTTATAATTTTATCTTTTTATTATTCTTAATTAATTTTCATATAATTTATGATTTTAATTTTTTAAATTTAATGATTATTTAATATATTTATTTATATATTTACAATTTTATTTTCTTATCTTTTTCCTATTTTTTATATTTATTTATTATTTAACTTAAAATTAATGTTCATGATCAACTACCGCGAAAAAGCATTGGATAAGGACACGTAATTTAAAAAAATGGAACTTATGCCATAAATTATAGTGCAAGAAACATGGATTTGAGATTGTCCATAATACCAACAGAACATTAAGGAATGTTGTCATCTTCATAAAAAATGAGAAAAAAATAGTATATATATATATATATATATATATATATATATATATATATATATATATATATAATCTGGTTTAAAAATGATGATGAAAAGTTGAACACTGATTTGACTAGATATTCTATTTGAAATTGTTATGCTGCTGCTTAAAGTGGGAATTAATATCGTTATCTAAATTGATGATGAACTTTTTAATGTTATTGT